TAAATACTCTGCTCAGAACGTTCTCACAACTTAGCCATCTTATTGCTGTGTAATATGGTAAACCTTGCGATTCTGTGTCTGTATCTTTTAACGTGTCTCCGAACTGTCTATGGTTGAGCCCATGTGACCAAATTAACCCTCTTTACCACAGGATTCAGTACGATGCTAATGTCCACATATTTTTCACACAAAGCTTTCTGCTGAATAATGCAGTGCAGGAGCATTGGTTGCAGAATTTTGTTTCTCATTACAGATCTGCTTCACTTATCCAACCAAGCCTTTCTTTATGCCACTCATGTTCTTTCCTCCATCAACAGTCAGGCCACTGATGTTAGTTCAGTCCAAGTTATAATCCGCAAATGTTTTTTTTTCAACTCATTGAATATATCCTCTCCTGTAACAGTGTCATACATGCTATGTAGGGAAGCCATCTCTTGTGTTATTTTTATGTCTTCATCCACACCTCTAAAGAACACAAGCAGTTGAGAGGTGGAACAGCTGTCACGCGATTCATCCATTTCAATTAAAAATTGGCGAAACTTGCTTGCATTTTTCGCTATTTGAGTCACAATGTTTTCACCCATGTCTGCAAAGCTCAGCAAATATATATGGCGTTATACCATCTCATTTACTGTGAACGGACGTAGCAAAACTAAGCAGCGAATAAGGTTTTGCCAAGTCATGATCGATTAGAAAACATCACGCACAACTGCGCGCCTCTATTTTAATTCGGTAAAGACATAACGTCCACGTAAGCGGCGTCTGATCTTGGCAGAATACACGTACATTTCCGTATGTTTTCCGTAGACAAAAAGGTCTCTGCGGGCCGCATGCGGCCCGCGGGCCGTAGTTTGGAGACCCCTGCTCTAGACCAAACTTGGTAAAAATACATTTCATTTTCCCTTTAAAAATATATGTGGATTTTAAAATGATAATATCCAAATTATTTTTGAAATGGGGGGGGGGGGGGGGGTATCTCAATGAACCGATTTTAATGTTATACTTTGTTAAAATAAAGTTTGGTCGTTATTCAACCTCAACTACTCACTGCTGCAAAATGTGAAAGATTAGGTAGTTTTGACCCCCGGGGTCCCTAACATTAAAAGTTTATAAGCAACATCTTTGCCGATTCTTTCCAATTTCAATGGGATACTTTTGAAAAACTATCGTGAATCTGATAGATTTTTATAGTGCCTCTTTCTTAGGGGTAATTAAAGTACCTCTTTTGAATGAGTATCATGCTCCATTTTAATTTATAAACTGCGATAGCTTTGGCATTGGTGTATACCTACTTTTAGTAAGACATTTTTTACAATTTAGATTTGTTCTTGCATTCCTTATTCTTTTTATAAACGGAAAGAAACGTTGTGCCATAATGGTAAACTACAGTTGATGGCGCTTATAAGTATCGAAAAGTCCAGTCGCATGCATGAAAAGTGATTTGGCGGACCTAGGTGTTTACCTAACTATGGTTCTGTTTGAGATTTGCATTACCACCTTTTGATAATATGTGTTTAGGGATGGGATAATCACAAGATTTGGATTCAGAACCTATTATCGTTGAGTCAGAATGTGGGTAGGTGTATTTTATAACCACACGACAGTGTGACAGTGTCAAACCTTGGCTCTGAATAAAAGTCAACACAGTAAAAAAAACAACATTAAATCAGAGTAAAATAAATTTTACATCACAGTAAGGTAATGATACATAAGAGTAAGATTATAGTAAATCGACAAAGCAATGAAAATGTGAATTTTCAGTACACCACTTAGGATGAAGATTTAAGCGATTTTTTTTTTTTTTTTTGTATTTCATTTATAAAATAATGTAGCTGCACATGGATGTTAGCTTTTTCTCTTTCATTCAAGTCCCAGCATGCTTCCAGATCATAAATCATTTGCGAATTGTAAATGAATTTTACATCACAGTAAGGTAATGATACATAAGAGTAAGATTATAGTAAATCGACAAAGCAATGAAAATGTGAATTTTCAGTACACCACTTAGGATGAAGATTTAAGCGATTTTTTTTTTTTTTTTGTATTTCATTTATAAAATAATGTAGCTGCACATGGCTGTTAGCTATTTCTCTTTCATTCAAGTCCAAGCATGCTTCCAGATCATAAATCATTGGCGAATTGTAAATGACTAGTCTATTGCCCTAGACCGATGCTACCCAAATTTTTTAAAGTTTAATTTAACGTTGGACAAGTTTACGTGCACCAGGGACCAGTGTCATATTTATTGGTTAGTTTGTCCTTTCTTTTTTTTTTTTTTTTAAACCTTAAATATGTCATTAGATATTTTTAATTTGCCATCAGACAATGCAAGAATGCTTTATGAAATATTACCATTTAATGTTAGTCGTCATAAGATTTTATTTTTTAATCATTATTTTTCTATTTTTAAGCGCTATGTAGCTCCTCCCCTCCCCCC